GGCGGCGCTGGGACGCTGTCCCACAGCTACCGGTATGAGGTCTGTCTCACTGGCGACTCTGGGACCCGCGATTTCAAATTCTTGAAATCGATTGTCCCCGACTTTCTTGGTCAGGATTCAGGAAGGGCTAGTGATGAAAACGAGAGTGTCAGGAATAGCTTTGAATTCAGTTAAGCATTATTAAGGATCTACTGAGCTTGGGCTCAGTTGATTTGTGGAAGGCCCCGTTTTTATTGCTTTGCCTTTTAGTGATTTATAAAAATTCAACAAAGTAATTATCTTAGTCCAATTATGTCCGTATTACTGGGTCTATATTGATCGCGGTGGGTGGTAGTATAATGGATGTGCATTTTCTACGAATTCCTACTTTGATTAGTATCGCTGTAACTTAAAGTGTGAATGTAAATATTTTCAAGAATATTCCACTTTTAAACTAGATCTCCTTCACTCATACCCACCATGCCCAGTTTCTAGGTGATTTTGAAGTTCTTCATTCTGAAATGTTTACTGTTCTTATATGGGTTATATTTTTCCAGCCTCAAATGTTTGTGTTTGTTATATATTCTTTCAGGCTACTGTAACTTTTATCCCATGAAGTCACACTGGCTAAACCATTTTCATAAATATATTGGTGAATAACCTAGCAAGCCTGCCCTGTTTATCTAAATACATACTTTAAAGTATGTATTCAAAATATGAAAATTGACACTTTAGACACTGTGAGAACCTAAACTTTTGGATTCTACATTTTTATGCTTAATAAATTTTTACAAAATTTACTAAGCCAGACAGGGTACTGTAATCTCAGCTACTCAGGAGGCTAACAAGGGAAGATCAAAAGTTTGAATCCAGCCTGGGTAATTTAGCAAGACCCTTCTCAAAATAAAAATTAAAATGAAAAGGGTTGAGAATGTATCCAGCACTCTCTGGCTTCAATCCCAAGTAATGGGGAAAATCACTCACTAATATTCTAAAATGCCAAAGTAGTACATGTCTAGTGACTTTCAAAAGTATAATTTTTCATATTTTCTATTTAAATGGTCCTTTTAAATCCTCTGCTTATTCTAATCTCCCATTAATATGTTTCAAACTAACTCAGCACATCATTAAAATGAAAAAAAGTCTATGAGAGGACATGTCTTTGTCGTTTTAGCAACTTTCAATGTAGCTTGGCACGGCATTTTTAAGAATTTTCTGGTGAATTTAGAATTTGATTAGAAACAAGCCTTTGTACAGTGGGGGGTGTATTTACATCCATGCACTCCTTTTTTTATTTGGTATTGATTACTTCTATTTTTCCAACTGCCTGGACTTTTCAGTATATTTTTATAAAACATTCTTGAGTTATTCTGATCACTATGTTACCCCCTTATTGCATGATTAACACAGCTACTAGAACATTTTGAGTTCTTAATAAAATTTGTTAAGGGCTGGGGATGTGGCTCAGCAGTACCTCACCTGCCTGGTGAGTGCAAGATCTTGTTTGATCTCTGGTACCAAAAATATTTAATTAATTAAGTTTTAAATGACTGAAAGAGTATTTCACCTTGATATATTAATATTTAAAAACACTAAAATACTTAATGAAAATTTTAACTGGAATTAAGCACCTCGATGAACAATTATATAATTTTGTTTTAATTGAACTGTTCAGTTACTCAAACATTATGTAATTATTTTCCCCTGTCTTTCCTTCAACACATCCTTTCTTTTTCCTCTTAAGGTTTAATTTCATACTTTTGTCCTATTCACAGGTCTAGGGAATACAGACAGGGAATTCATGGTACTCCATTTTATAATTTAAGTATACTTACATAGTTTTTTGTAGATGACTCTTACAAATTTCTTCATTTTTTGCAATTTAATTTCTTGATTAATGTTGAAAACAAATTTTAATTCTTAATGTCATTTACCTTATCTTTAAATTTTCTCATTTTGTGCAAATTTGAATGAGACATGCTATTAAAATTAAAATATGAATTTTGAAGATCTCATTTTGAAATTAGTAATATAGAGCAATTTATTGGTATTGAAAATCTCTGATCAGCCAAATAATTTCCTGTAGAATCTTGGATAAGTCACATTTCTCCCTCTTCCTCTGCCCCATGATAACAGCGATTTCAGTAGTTTACAATTATGATAAAATAAAATAAAATAAAATGAAGTATAAATGCTGCTATTTTTGGTGTCACTGTTAAGAGTTTACATTCCTGATAATTACCAAATACATTTTATTCAGCTAGAGGACATTGCCTCCCTATGTTTTGTTTATTTAAGTCATGTGACAGGAGAAACTATTACAGTAGCATCGGCTGGGTTTGCTAAAAGGAATAGAAATATAACAAAAAATAAAAATAAAAAATATACTATATCTGCAAACTTTTTCCAAGATTTTAAAGCTGGAAGTGAACGCATGGTGGCGCTGTTGACTAAAAAAAGCGAATCTACCATAGACTGCTAATAATACTACTCTGACATACACACGGATCTAGTGCGGTAGTGCGGTAAACTAGGGGTTGAGCCTGGGCAGATTTTTAAACAAGCAAATCTGATTCTCTGGAAGAGACTATTTGCTAAGTTGGACATAAAAGCCTTTTCGCTCCCCTGTGGTGTCCGAGATTTGACTTGGCGATATTCCTTGGAAGAACATGGTAGACTGTACAATGGAGACCAGAAAGGAGCATTTTCTTACACAAAGGCAAGTCTTGCTTCTCTTTGTTTTACTGGGTGGGTCTGTGGCTGAGTCCCTGTTCAGACGCTATTCTGTGGCTGAGGAAAAAGGGAGGGGCTTTTTAATAGCGAATCTGGCAAAAGATCTGGGGCTGAGGGTAGAGGAATTGGCCGAAAGGGGAACGCAAGTTGTTTCCAAAGGGAACAAACTGCTTTTTCAGCTCAGTTATGAAACTGGTGATTTACTCCTAAATAAGAAATTGGACCGGGAGGAGTTATGCGGTTCCAGAGAGCCATGTATACTGCATTTTCAGGTATTACTGCATAACCCTTTGCAGTTTATTACAAATGAACTCCAGGTCATAGATGTAAATGACCATTCTCCTGTATTCTTTGAAAATGAAATGGAGCTGAAAATCCTAGAAAGCTCTTCACCAGGGACAGTGATTTCTTTGGGAAATGCTGAGGACTTGGATGTGGGAACAAACAGTCTTCAAAACTACACTATCTCGCCCAATTCTCATTTCCACGTTCTCACACGCAGTCGGAGGGATGGAAGGAAGTACCCAGAATTAGTGTTGGACAAAGCCCTGGATAGGGAGGAGCTGCCTGAGCTCAGTTTAACGCTCACAGCGCTGGATGGAGGCTCGCCACCACGGTCTGGAACAGCCCAGATTCATATCCGGGTCTCAGACATAAATGACAATGCCCCAGAATTCGAACAATCGCTCTACGAAGTTCAGATTCCAGAGAACAGTCCTGTTGATTCTGTCATTCTCACGGTCTCAGCTTCTGATTTAGATACAGAAAATTTTGGGGCAATATCATATGCATTTTTTCATGCTTCTGAAGAAATTCTCAAAACTTTTAAACTAAATCCTATTACGGGTGATATACAACTAATCAAATACTTGAATTTTGAAGAAATTAATAATTATGAAGTCGACATAGAGGCCAAAGATGGTGGGGGTCTTTCGGGAAAATCCACAGTCATAGTTCAAGTAGTTGACGTGAATGACAACCCACCAGAACTGACTTTGTCCTCAGTTAACAGCCCTATCCCTGAGAACTCTGCAGAGACTGTGGTGGCTGTTTTCAGTGTTTCTGATCTAGACTCTGGTGACAATGGAAGAGTAAAGTGCTCCATACAGAACAATCTCCCTTTCATCCTGAAACCATATATAGAGAATTTTTACACAATTGTGTCTGAAGAAGCCCTGGACCGAGAGAGCAGATCTGAGTACAACATCACCATCACGGTCACCGACTTGGGCACACCCAGGCTGAGAACCCAGCACAACCTAACCGTGCAGAGACTGGTGGCTGTTTTCAGTGTTTCTGATCTAGACTCTGGTGACAATGGAAGAGTAAAGTGCTCCATACAGAACAATCTCCCTTTCATCCTGAAACCATATATAGAGAATTTTTACACAATTGTGTCTGAAGAAAACCTGGACCGAGAGAGCAGATCTGAGTACAACATCACCATCACGGTCACCGACTTGGGCACACCCAGGCTGAGAACCCAGCACAACCTAACCGTGCAGGTCTCCGACGTCAACGACAACGCCCCGACCTTCACCCAGGCCTCCTACACCCTGCTGGTCCCCGAGAACAACAGCCCCGCCCTGCACATCGGCACCGTCAGCGCCACGGACAGAGACTCGGGCGCCAACGCCCAGCTCACCTACTCGCTGCTGCCGCCCCGAGACCCGCAGCCCGGC